CCTCTGAAGACCTTTTGATTTCTGTCTATCACTGATTTAGCAAGTTGTATGGAAGTGGCTAAAATAAACTATATTCTTTGTACGTGTGAGCAGTAGGCAACCGACTTAAGAAGTATTAGCTAACCCTGCACCCTCTGACTAAATACAGAACTGACAAGGTTTGTGTCCGTGAGAAACACGATCCGGCCGCCGTGATCTCTGTGCGGCATCGGGTCCATAATGAACGAATAATTGAAAGTGTAAGAAACACCGACAAATCAAAGATCTAAATTAAATCATAATCAATAGTTATGGTTATTTTCTAATAAGAAACACAATCTAAACTTGATCATCAGTAAAAATTGGAGTCAGATTAAGCGTAGAGCTAAAGTAATATTGAAACTAAATTCTAATAAATTAAGTGAACAACTGGAGCACTGAAAAGACATACACGCATTATCCCTTCGCCCAGCCATTGGATTCCGTCTTTGGGCCAATGGGTGGTCCTTACAATATTTAATATTTAACAATATTATTGATTTGTGTTGTACTACTTTCATGTTATCATTGTGAAGCTGCTTTGATACAATCTGTATTGTGGAAAGCGCTATATAAATAAATGTGACTTGACTTGACTTGACTTGTGTGACCGTACAACAGTAACGTTACAGGAATCACCAACCCGTCGATCGCGGTCGAAAAGTCGATCTTGGATGCATTTTAAGTTGATCACGAAGAGTTTTCAAAATCAGACAAAAAAAGCCTATTGTGTGTACTAAATGGTGTCTACGGCATACAAATGGTGTCTAGGGGACTTATGCATCATAAAGTATAAAGGAAAACTTTAACCCTGTTAGAAAAAAAATGTATAGTTTTGTGCTGTTTGAGAAATGTATATTGAGAAATGTGCTGGTGATGTTGTGCTTGTGAGATAATCAGCTGATTACTATTATTATATTATATATTAAGACCCTTGATCCTCACCTGAATATGGCTTTGTAAACTTTATCAATTATGTGGTTTATAATGGACTGTGGTACAGAAACTATGACAATGTTACACACTCTTGGCTTACTCTGGCTATTCTCTTCTGTTTCATATATCTGCCCCGCCTAAGCCACTGTAGCTTGGGAAGGTGAGCAGTGGGCTGAGACCTTAGTGCAACTGAACCACTATGTCGCGAAAAAATACACAGTGCACCTTTAATATAACTGAATAATACCGTTTTTTTAAAGTTATTGTTTTATCGATATAATGAACAACCATTTATCTATTCACAAAACTTTGTATTGTATACCTTTATTTAAAGGTGATGTAGTTAGACACTACTAAATGTACTTACTAAATTATGCAGAAATGCAACTAACCCTAAACCAAACCCTAACATATAACTCAGTTTAAAGTAAAAATAATGTTTAAATAGAGTAAGTACATTTAATTAATATTACTCGGGTCTTATCTGAGAGAGTAAAGTGTGTCCTAAAATAAAGTGTAACCAAAAGTTGTCATCCTGTGCTCTCTGTCACTTCAGCAGTGTGTTTAAAATTATACCTGATGGAAAATTTGCAAAAGGTTAGAAAATGTCTAACAAGAGCGTTATGACACACTCAAAAATGGCCATTTAAACTGAGATAAATTCAATCAACAGACATTGACCCTTTGATTCAAAGCAAAGAGATTGCGTGTGTATTACAGGTTTTTTAACTTAGTGTCAACATGTATAACCACACTCAAGCACACATACACACACACATCTGCTGACCTAACCACCTTCACATCTACGCCTCAGCAAACTCCGCTTCACGAGAGGCGAAACTAGAAATAGAGCAACGTTCTGCATCACATGCTTAGCATTGTTTATCTGTGTATAATAATTCTAAACCACACCTCTCTATAACAAGCGGCGGAAATTTACAAAAGAACCATTCTGTAACTTCAATTCACAATTAATTCTGAACAGTTGTAGACCAGAATTATGAAATAGATGTTTTTTTTCTCCAAAACACGTGGCCACAATTATTGGCACCCCTAAAATTTAATAATTTAATCTCTGAAGTATATTCCCATTAATATTTATCTTTTTTTAGCACACCAGGGTGACTAAGAGCAAAGAATTGTCTAGCTACAACGCATTCTCATCCCAAAGCGCCATATACAACGCTTTTGCAAAAGCGTAAATATCCAACGCACATGGCACCCTTTAAAGTCTAATGAGACGCTTCGGTTATGGTTAAGTTTAGGTATGGTGTAGGGTAAGGGTTAGACCACTAGGGGGCGCCTTCTGCCCAAATATATCTGCGTCTCATTTGACGTTAAAGGGTGCCATGTGCGTTGGATATTTACGCTTTTGCAAAAGCGTTGTATATGGCGCTTTGGGATGAGAATGCGTTGTAGCTAGACAATTCTTTGTATTTACGCTATATGGCGCTTTGGGATGAGAACGGGCTCCTAGCTATGACTGTTGTTTCACAGGAGTTTAAATATGAGAAAACACAAAGGCCAAATTTCCTTAAAGAGCACCTATCATGGATTTTTGAAAATGACTGTTCATGTAGTGTGGAAAATAGCTCTAAGGGAATGAAAACATCCTGCAAAGATTTATATATACGTTCTTCTCCTTCGACTACTTTTTGTTACCGGCTGCTCACCGCTTAGGAGTATTACCGCCCCCTACCGTATAATATGATGATCAATATATAAGGCACTCCGGATTATAAGGAACACTGTCGTTTTTTGAGAAGATTAAAGGCTTTTAAGTGCACCTTATAGTGCGGAAAATACGCTAATTGAAAGCGTATGTACAGCGCGCATCTTCCTCTGCTTGTAAACAGAAAGTTTTGCGCTTCCAGCAATATCAGCACATCATCTTAATACGGTAGGTGGCGGTAATATTCCTAAGCGGTGAGCAGCCGGTAACAAAAAGTAATCGAAGGAGAAGAACATCCTCGTCTCAGTTCTCGCGCATGCGCCATAAGGAAGTAATAGAATAGTCGAATAAAGTCGTTATTTATGTTTTTTTCGCACAAAAAGTAGTCTCGTCGCTTGATAAACTTATAATTGAGCCGCTGTAGGCACATGGAATATTTAAACCTTTTCTTTAATGACTTTATGGGCCGTCAAGAGCCAGTCCCTTAGGCAGTCTATGTAGGACTGATCCAGCTCTCAGATTCAATCAAAAATATCTTTATTTGTGTTCCGAAGATGAACGAAGGTCTTACGGGGTTGGAACAGCATGGGGGTGAGTAATTAATGACTTAATTTTCATTTTTGGGTGAACTAACCCTTTAAGACGTGTTGCTAACCAACCCCTCTCAGGCATTAGACTTCAGACTCAAGCTTTAGGAGGACTGGAAGGATACAATTGCTTTGTATTGTGGATCTTTTGTAGTTTGTGAGTTTTGCCTTTGGAGGGCATATGTCTGAATGTTTATATGATTATTGCTTACTAAATGCAATTCAGTACATAAAATGCACTGCAACAGCACTGGTGAAGCTACTGTACCATCCAAGTTGACAATTAAAAGTAGGGCTCGCAACTTTGGACAATCAAACAATCAAGTGGACTGTTTTGCAAGAATGAGGAACTTTCCCCCCCGGCCCTATATCTCTTTCTTTCAAGACAGATAATCATCTACAGCACTCTGGTTCACTGGCATCATCAATCAATTCTCAGGGTTACACTACATTGAAATTACTTTGTCGACCTACAAAATACTCATAACTTTTGAATTATTATTATTATAATTATTATTACTATTATTTGGGAGACAACCTCAAATTTGAACAGATAGATTTATTCTAGATCTAACTCAAAAGAGTCGACTGGTACTAAAAGATCTGCCACCTTCTTGAATCAGTAAACCTTTTGGAATCTGATCATTAACAAGAACTGCCCAAGCGAACTCATCCCCCACAATGAGAGAACATGCATTTGCTGCTTTTTACCTCTAAGTGGCATTATAACCATTGTTACGAAACCGGGACCCGGAGACAGAAGAGAAAGTGAAAGAGTTTATTAAACAGGAGGCAGACAAACAGGTAACTGGCAAAAGGTAGAGGAGTGCTGCGGATGAACACTGGAGGAATCGCTGGAGATTACACAGTAGATTACACAAGAGACACAAGAGATTTTTTACAGTATAAATACAGTTTAGAGAGAGAGAGAGAGAGAGCGTTTGTGTTTGTGTTTGTGTGTGTGTGGTCCTGATACTGTGAATGGGGATATAAAAAAATATCCCCACAAAAATGGCAATATCAGAAATTCTTGTCCTTGTGGGGAAATTAGTCCTCATTAGCTTATGAATCATACAAATAATGTTTAAAAATGTATAAAATACAGCCAATCCGACATGTTTGGTGTTCAGGTGTACCCCATGCGGAGACAAAATATCTTCACAAATATAGTAATATCCTTGTCCTTGTGAGGATATTTGGTCATCATGAGGAAAACAGCTTGGTGAAAACAGTCAGGTGTGTGTGTTTACCTCAGGGTGCTGGGCAATGAAGTTGAATTTGCTATATAAATGACAATAAAACAATGTTTGATTGCACTACACTGATCATCGCTGGAAAATGTTGCTTATTACTGGAAAGCTACATTATTTTGAAAGTTTATCATGCTATAATTAATGGAGTTTGAGTGTCATCATAGTGGTTTGTGTGTTGAATGTTAAGGATGACGTGCTGACAAACTACCCTGGTTTAAATGTTCTTGTTGTGGTTTTACTCTGCATCAACCCTTTATCCACATATCACACATCTATCTTATTGTGTGAAATAATCCCTCTTAGTGTACAAATTGTCTGTGCGGATCAGCTGTGCTACACACTCTATTCATAGAAATAGCGGTCAGAAAGACTATATCGTATTTTGAAATGTATGTTGAGTAGTAATGAATGTCCATCAGAAAAAGCAGGCGTTTCAAAATTGTTTAAAATACACCGTTCAGCGCTATTTGACAATGCTTCCGGCTTTAAAAGGTATTCACAGCATAGATACTTTAGTGCAAGCACTACCTATTCTGTTCAAAGTGCACTGATACTGCAACAGCGTATTGACTGCAAGCTAAGAATAACCCAGTTATCTTGTAAAAGAAATCTTGATCAGCAGCCATGGTTGGTGTGTTTCTACTTGCATGTAAGTAATGAAATTACAAAATCTTATATATTCAGTAAATAAAATAAATAAATAACTTTTTATGATAAATTATTATTATTATTTCCTAGATATCTCAGTGAATCTAATCCTTCAAAGTCAAGGTAAGTTTGAATGGTGCAATGAATAAAAACCTTTGCAGTTAATGTTGTATCGCACTTTTAGGATGAAAAAAACGTCTTATTTCCTTCACAGGCGAACAGCTTCAAAAAGCCAAGATTTTCAGTGAAAATACAGAAGTACCAGAAGGTGGTATACTGGAGGTTACTTGCAGTACATATGGTTTTACTAAGCCAGAGGCTAAATCAGTTTATGTATATCTGTGTAAAGATGGTAAAGCTATAGATATGAAATCCAGATCCACTCGACAAGACATCGCCTTTAAAATAGAGAGAACAGAAATGGACCATTCGGGCAACTATAGCTGTCTGTTTTCTGAAGAGCACTTGGAAAAAAACAAAGTGATGGGATATGGTAATAATATCATCTTCATAAATGTGATCGGTAAGATGTATGACACTTCTGCTTACATTTGAGTGTGTGCTGAGTTCCTGTGCACAGATGAGACATGTTGAATGACACACTTGTGCAAATTAACCACAATAGACTCACTGTTGTAAAAAATTGCCTTTAATGAGAGAGACATTTTTGAAATTGGGTTTTTCTTATTGTTTTAGACCCTTTGTCCTTGTATGCATTAAAGGCCATGCTAAACATTTAACCATAAGTGTTCACTTTCTCTCTACAGAATCTTTATTTAATTCACAGATACATTTGCAACAGTCTGAGGTGGCAGTGGGAAGTGATGCTGAGTTTATCTGTACAACATCCGATCCTATGAACAAAAACCTGTCCAATAATATGATTTTGGCTTTTCTCATCAAAAATGAAAAGCCCATTAAAGTCAATATTTGGGACAGAAAAGAAACGAGGACAACGTTCACCCTCAGAGAGGTCCGGATGGAAGATGCTGGAACATACAGTTGTGCTTTGTTAAACATTCTTCCTTACCATGGAATGAGACTTGATCGAAAGAATAAAGTCAACCTTCAGATAGTTGGTAAGAATGCGGGGTTTACAGGATTGTTGATCCATCAACAAATGATCCAGGAACATGTCTGACTTGCAAAGTTACGACAACATTAAATGTTTGTCACTACATTCGGTAAAACATACTACTGTAGCCTACTTAAAGGGGAACTGAAGCAGTGAATCAAGTTTACATGATTTACAAGATGGATTTCCAATATAATCAACAATTATATAAGAAACATTACAAATGTAAACATTTAGAAGAAAAAAAGAAAAAACTTTGTATCTTTCGCCGCCATGGCGCCGCCATTGTGCAGGTGACGTAACGGGGTTGGTTGGCTCAAGTTTAACAGGCTCTGGGCACTGAAAATCGCGACATCAAACTGTGTTTACACCAGTGTTTTGACCGCGAACGACTAATGTTAGGTACAGTCATTAGACAAAAAGACGATGTCTCATGTTATATGTTGACAAACTGCACATAGAAACATTGTTCGCGATGTCTGCCGTCAGATATTCCCGTCTCGTCAACAACATGTAAGTTACGTTGCTGTGTAGAACAGCCGGTGGTGGTTTGGGGCGAAGAGCGGGTTTGCAACGCTAACTTACCAGGTGTCAGTGTGGCTGTTGTACTGCGATGCCCTCCAGAGTCCATCTGTTGTCAAGAGGTTGATCTTGAGCATGTATTGCGTGGTCAATTCTGCATCACCGGCGCGCAGGTTTACCATGCTGTGCCGGGAGTTAGACATGTGGAAGCGGCGATGCTTTCCCTGAAGGATGTCAGAGCGGAGACACTTACCAGTGCGAAAATATGGATGTTTCATTTCCCCTTTAACAAATACATGCTAACTTACATGTTGTTGACGAGACGGGAATATCTGACGGCAGACATCGCGAACAATGTTTCTATGTGCAGTTTGTCAACATAACATGAGACGTCGTCTTTTTGTCTAATAACTGTACCTAACATTAGTCGTTCGCGGTCAAAACACTGGTGTAAACACAGTTTGATGTCGCGATTTTTAATGCCCAGAGCCTGTTAAACTTGAGCCAACCAACCCCGTGACGTCACCTGCACAATGGCGGCGCCCTGGCGGCGAAAGATACGTTTTTATTTTTTTCTTCTAAATGTTTACATTTGTCATGTTTCTTATATAATTATTGATTATATTGGAAATCCATCTTGTAAATCATGTAAACTTGATTCACTGCTTCATTTCCCCTTTAAGTAGGCTACAGTAGTATGTTTTACCGAATGTAGTGACAAACATTTAATGTTGTCGTAACTTTGCAAGTAAGACATGTTCCTGGATCATTTGTTGATGGATCAACAATCCTGTCCAAAAACAGTCCAAACCCTATCCCGACACGTAAACCTAACCCTGCGTATACCTAAAATCAGAGGGTAATTATAGGTGAAAAAGAGTGGTGTAGAAGCCCTTTACATTACAGTTAAAATGATAGCCAAGCACGTTACTTACTAAAAGGGTTAGTTCACCCAAACATGAAAATTCTGTCTTTAATTATGCTCCATCATGTTGCTCCGAACCTGCAAAACTTTCATTCTTCTTCAGAACACAAATGAAGATCTTTTTTATGAAATCTGAGTGATTTCTGCACCTCAGTCGACAGCTACCAAACTTCCACTCTGACACTAAAAGAAGTTCAAAAAGAGATCGTATTAATCCATATGAATTGAGTGTTTTAGTCAAAATTTTCTGAAGAAACTCAATCGCTTTATAAGATGAACAGATTGAATTTAGGCTTTTATTCACATATAAACATTGATCAGTGAACATAAACAGAAGCTCAACCGAACCTGCTTGAAGCACAAGGACAAACCTGGAAGCTCAAACGTACTGCGTAACACACAAGAATGAACCTCATTTGTTCTCGTACATCAAGCGAACATGCTTGAGCTTCTGTTTACCACAACTTTTTTGTGAAAATGAGAGTTTATGATTGTTTATATGTGAATAAATAAATAAATCTGCTCAGCCACGTAAAATTTGGAGTAAACTGCTCTATTCATCTGGAATTTTAGGATCTCTTTATGAACTTGTTGTGTAACAGTCAACGGAGGGAAAGAAATCCCTCAGATTGCATTAAAATATCTTAAATTGTGTTTCAAAGATAAATGAAAGTCTTACTGATTCGGAATGACATGAAGGTGAGTAAATTATGACAGACTTTTCATTTTGGGTAAACAAATCATTCAAGAAGCATAGACAATAGGTATATTTGTTACACAGTAATTATAACTGTAATTATATACATGTTACTTGCTATAAGGTTGGGATTAGGGTTAGTTACATATAATTATGTATAAATATGTTCTTTTACAAGGGTAGCTAACTACAATATTATATTGCAAAATTGAATCAAACCTTTTTTTGTGTTTCTGGGATTTCTTTGACAGTGGCACCTAGCATCGGCTTTGACAAAATCATAATTGTCATAGTAATGAGCTCTACCTTAGTGTTGTTCCTGAGTCTGTTTCTGGGAATTTGGGCAGTGATGCGTAAAAGAGGTACTGTGGCACTTTCTCCTCAACTGCAAACATTGACACATTTCACTTTCTTGAAAAATTCTGTTTAAATGCCAACACTCACAACGTTTTGTTTCTAATAGGATGCCATGGATTCCACAAGGAAAGGTCTGTTTGAGATTTTCAATTAAAATATATTGAATATTCAACAAAATTGATGAATTTCTAATCAACAGATCCTTGAATGAGAAAGAGCTCAAAGGAAATGATGTGTTCTACGAAGGTACAGTATTCACTGTTTTGCTTACATTCTGTACATAAATGTAAATGGCAATGGTATATATTTTGGTTTAGCTTGACCAAGAATAACAGTTCCCTTGTGAACAGTTCCCCAGTTGGGGTTTTGTTTAGAAAGCCATCAACTTCGAGTATTAAAAAATGAGCCAATGGCAAAGAAATGCCATGGAACTGCAAATTTTGCATAGCGTGACTCCGTCCCACCTCGTGGGTATGTAAGAAAGTAAGCTAGCAATATGCAGATATGTTTTTGCTTCTGAGCCAAGAAGTCTTCTTCACTCCAGCCTATTCTCTGACTATCTTCAAGAATCTTCTAGATGAGCAGCTTCCAGTCAGTGTTGGTGTGAGAGTGTGTCCCAGCGAGTTTCACATTCCTGCCTGCTGAACTGAACAACGTGTGTGTTTCTCCCTCAGATTTCCTCCCGCCATGTCACTTCAGCAATGCTGCAAGCTTTTCTCTCTCAAAAAGAGCGTGTACGCGGCACAACTTTCTAAAAAAGATCAGCCCGTGTATTTCTGAGGGAGGTAGTCTGATAGATTCAACTGATGGGCACGAGCACTGTTTTGACGTGTTTGAGCGTCAATCACGTGCCGACAGCGTTGGTGAATGCGTCACATTCTCCCAGCGGGAACATGACCATTGCAATGTAACGGTCGAGACTCGATGAGTGACAAACTATCGCCCCATCACAAGGTGAGCTGGAGTCCTCTGGAGATGAGGGCTCACCTGTGCTGCCACCCTTATGTGTGCTAACATGACAAGTATGATCTAGAGCTGACAGCTATGCTTTCCCTGGCCGCCGCAAGTATCGGGTTTGTGTGGAACCATCCGCCATTTCCCGAACACTTAATCTTTTTTATGAAATCTGAGTGATTTCTGCACCTCAGTCGACAGCTACTGTACCAAACTACCACTAAGGTTGATGATTGGTTTTGGGGGGAGTCGAAACCAAATCCTTTCTACCCAGTCGTGCATGAAGAGGTCATAAGATTGTGTGAGTCTGCTTTGAGTTTTCGTGCCTCTTCCGCCTTCTCTTCCCTTGCAGAGGCCGTGGCCAAGGATACAATGGGGTTTCCCCTTGTGGAGTTTTCTGTGGCAAAACATCTGTGTCCCCACAGCACCTCCACCTGGCGTAGCAACCCTCTAATACCTGTAGGTTTTTTGTCTACTCCGGAGGCAAAGACCTATAGAGCTGCAGGGCAGCCTGCTGCCTCATTGCATGTTATTGCCATCCTTCAGGGTGCTCAATGTTATGCACAAGGGTAGGACTGATTCAGGGCTGATTCAGGGCTCATACAAGAGCTGCCTGCCGCCACCGATCCGTGCATGCTCCCCGGGTCAGGTGATGTCCACATGCATGGTCAGAAATCTCTGACTTAACCTGGTTGACAAGCATAAGGTTGAGCGAACCTTCTTCCTCAACTCCCCCATATTCCAGACTGGCCTCTTTGGTGGCACAGTCGAGGACACTGCCCAACTGTTCTCGGCCGCCCAGAAGCAGACTGAGACTACCAAACATGTTCTGACCCCGCAGACAGCTGCTGTCACCCAGCCACCGGCTCAGACACCTCGGTCCGCTTGCCACCGATCGTGCCCTCCTACCCGGCCCAAGCGTCGTGAAGGTGGTCACAGGAAGGCGCCTCTGCCCGTACCAGTCCCGCAGCCTGCCAATGTGGCAGGGCCTTCCGGCAGGCGATGCGGCTCTCCGGTTATGGGCAGCTCAGAGGTAGGTTGTAGTTCTTTCAGGAAGTGGTTGCAGGGCCACTCTTTCCCCCGGTGGAGGCCCGGGGGAGAACCTTTTCTCCAAAGAACTGACATCCTATCTCTGAGCCCCCAGTGGGCGCAGATGGCAGTTTGCAGCGATCGACCTGAAGGACACCTAATTCCATGTCTCCTTTCTTCCTTGACACAAACCGTTCCCTTGGTTTGTTTTTGAGAGGTGGAACAACAAGTATGCAGTTCTCCTATTCAGGCTAGCTCTGTCTCCTCACACCTTCACTAAAGTTATTGAAGCAGCCCTTGTGCCACTACGGCAACACGGGGTTCGCATCCTGAACCATCTCGACGACTGGCTGATCCTAGCTCACTCTTGTGGCGAGGTTTGCTAACACAGGGACCGATTGCTCCGGCACCTAGCTTGTCTTGGTCTTCAGGTCAACTGGGAAAAGAGAAAACTTTGCCCCATGCAGAGGATCTCTTTTATCCGTATGGAAATCGACTCTGTTGTCATGTGTGTGCAGCCTATGAGCAAGCAAGCGCGGGCGTGCAGTCACTGCCAACTTGACTTATACGTTCAAGGGTAAGAGTTCCACTGAAGTTATTTCAGAGGCTCCTGGGTCATATGGCATCCACAGCTGCAGTAGTGCTGCTCAGATTGCTTCATGTGAGACTGCTTCAGCTCTGGCTTCATGATCAAGTCCCAAGGTGGGTATGGCAACAAGGTCCGCTCTGAATACTATTTACTCCATCCTGCCGTCAGACCTTCACCCCGTGGACGAACCTTAGCTTTCTCCAGCCTGGATTGCCCTTAGATAGAGTTTCTAGGCATGTTGTCTCGACAGATGCCTCCACCACGGGTTGGGGTGCCACGGGCTATGGACAAGACCCCAGTGCCTTTGGCATGTCGATTGGCTCAAGTTGGTGGCAGTATGTCTCGCTCTGCACTGCTTCCATGCATTGTTCAACAATCAACATGTACTAGTCCAATCAGACAATACCGCAACAGTAGCATACATCAACCGACAAGGCGGCCTACGCTTCTGTTGTATCTCACAACTTGCCCGACACCTCCTCTTATGGAGTCAGAAGCATCTGAGTTCGCTTCGAGCCATTATATTCCGTGAACCCTGGATTGTGCAGCTTACGAGCTTCACGGTTTCAGCCTCTTCCTGGAGAATGTCGACTCCATCCCTAGCACAGGTAAACCTGTTTGCCTCCCACATTTTGTCCCATTGCGACCTGCTTTACTCCCTGACGGAGGACACGCTCAGTACGGATGCACTGGCGCACAGCTAGCCGCAGGGCCTTCGTAAGTATACGTTTCCCACAGTGAGCCTTCTTGCACAGACCAGGACAAGGCAGGTTTGTGAACCATACCACCAGCGGTAGTGACTACCATCACTTCAGCTAGAGCATTGTCCACAAGACATGCTTATGCGTTGGAGTGGAACCTCTTTGTCAACTGGTGCCCTTCACATGAGAAGACCCCAGAAAGTGCCTGATCAGTGTCGTGCTTTTCTTCCTGCAAGATGGGTTGATGCGAAGGCTGTCTCCCTCCATCCTGAAAGTCTATGTTGACGCTATCGCCGCACATCACGCCGCAGTTGAAGGTAAGTCCATTGGAAAGCATGACCTGATCATCAGGTTCCTGAAAGGAGCAAGGAGACTAAATCCTCCTTGGCTTTTCGTTCACTCGCGGGACCTCTCAGTGGTTCTAACTGCCCTGCAGAGTGCTCTCTTTGAGCCTCTGAAATCAGTGGAGCTTAAGTTCCTGTCAGTTAAGACAGCGCTCCTGGTTGCACTGGCCTACATTAAGAGAGAAGGGGACCCTCACATGCACACATTTTCCGTTGACAAAGCATGCCTGGAATTTGGGCCAGCCTATTCTTACGTGATCCTGATACCCTGGCCTGGATATGTGCCCAAGGTTCCCATCACTCCCTTTTGAGATCAGGTGGTTAACCCGCAAGGACGGCCCCTTGAGGAGGCAGACCCAGCCTTGGCACTGCTCTGTCCAGTACGCGCCCTCCGTGCTTACATAGACAGAACACAGTGTTTCAGGACCTCAGTCCAGCTCTTTGTCTGTCATGGTGGGAAAACTGAAGGGAAAGGCTCCGTCGAAGCAGAGGCTGTCTCACTGGATAGTGGACGCCATTGCTTAGCTTACCAGCAGCAAGATCGACCTTGCCGAGGTGGCGTGTTTAGACTGGGAACCGCATTTCATCATTACGTCTCCCTGCCACTTCGCTGTACCACTAGAACCTTATAGTTCAGTCTCGGCTCCTCAACAAGTAACATATCTGCATATTGCCAGCGTACTTCCTTATATACCCACGAGGTGGGGCGGATTCACGCTATGCAAAATCCGCAGACCCATGGCATTTCATTGCCATTGGCTCATTTTGCAATACTCAAAGTTGATAGGCTTTCTTAGCGAAACCCCATTTCATCATCATTTGACGTGACGTCTCCGTTCCTACTCAGGGAACAGGGGTTACATACAAAACCGAGACGTTCTGTCATCATTTATTCACCCTCATGTTATTCCACCCCTGTATGACTTTTGGAATGCAAAAGATGATTAGAATCAGAAGAATGCTGGGATCCAAATAATATTCAATTCCATTGACTTTCATTGAATGGACAAAACCATTTTTCCCTTATTTTGTGTTCTGCAGATACAAAAGTTGCAAACTAAAATATGTACAATGTAAATATTTATCTGATAAAAGTCAACTTTGTAAGCACTACCATACCAATAACATCAAAGCTAAACAAATTGACAAAAACTGTTAAACTCCACTTTTCAAATTTCATAGGATGTTTTTGTTCTCTTTGCTTCTGTTCTGAGCAAATTTTGTCTCTTACAAATTTATATTCTAGAAATGCCCAACCCTGATGCAGCTGGTACTGGTGAAATACAAAGTGTTGTCTGGTAAGCCAGTAAAAATATAAATTAACTAATGAGCTTTGCACTGTTCTATCTTCTTTAGTTTCCCAGTCTCTGATTGATGAGTACGTAACATGTCAGCTTTCAGATTAGTGATTGTCTTATCTATTTTTTTTGTTCCTTATTTCTTTCCATGCAAATTGTGTAAATCAATGTCAATGATGGCTTAGTTCTGTCGCAGCATGGGATGAGTTCTCTGATATCGGTATGTCTGCACTCTAAAAGATTTATTGCAAATTAACTGTTGTGTTTTTTAAAAATTAAAATTATAGTACTGGAAAACACAGTAATTCGGATATACGACAAATGACATGATCTTATATTTCTAACATGCAATTTGGCCATTTTTTGGTGCACAATTACAATGACAAGCTATGTCTGCATTACACAAATCACTTGTATTTTTCACAGGGGAAGTGTATGATGAACTGGACTCCCAACAGTCTTAATGGCCTTGCTCAGTAGCATGTGATTGCAATGCATTGGTCATAGGTTTGATTCCAAAGGGAAAGCAAGAACTGATCAATTGTGTACTTTGAATGCAATATAAATAGCTTTGGATAAAAGTATCTGCTAAATGCATAAATGTAAATGTAATAAATTGGGTGTCTTTTTTATATTATTTGTTTGTCACTATTGTTGTTGTTTTTATGACAGTGACCAACTGAGTGTTGACCATCTTTATAGTCATGGTGCACATTTTTTTCATGACTTTACTAAAGTCTATAAATCTGACAGAATTAATAACAAAATACAATATTATGTAACATAAATATGACATATGCAAATTCAGAATAAATGTTTTTGAATAATTAATTAAAATTCTTAAAATCTGCAACCTGTTACAGTGTGTTCACAAATGTACTGAAGAATACCTAATAATAAAATGTTTTTAATGAAAAAAATATTTCACCAGGTAGGCTACATTTCATCATATTTCATCACAGATTGTATTTCATCATTTTTAAACATTGTAAAAATAAATAAATATTGAAATTTTGATTATTTTTGTTTCAAAGCACAGCGACTTACTCTATGATAACATTTTTTTATTCCGAAAGATTTTTTTTTTAGCTCTATGTAATGTTTTTGATTATATTTTGTTGTAAAAGTTGTGTTATGATTAAAGTTAATAGTGATTACTGTTCTCTTAGGTGAAGTTTCTTCCATTTTCAATGAGTATCTACAACTTTTCTGTAGAACTAATTCTACATAACCTTTTCAGTTTTTTAACAAACGGATACACAAATGAGACAAACTAAGAATGTTCCACAGCACCATTATGTTAATGCTCAGCCTAAATCAAAACGCAGGATATTTGAACTTGGATCCATAAGTAAATATCTTTACTATTTTTTAGAAATTTATGTTTGATGAAAGCACAGACTAACTTTAGTTTTCGATAACAATTTTTCCTTAAAGCCGATTATACTCAAATGTCCTTTAAAGGAGGGGTTGATTGCGATTTCACTTTTTTCATTTTAAATAGTGTGTAATGTTGCTATTTAAAATGAAAAAAGTTGCAGCGCTGAAAGTTCAGTGTAAGCAGAGATATCGTCTTTTAAAAATCAGGAAGCATATTGCCTACAAAAACGACTCGATTGGGACTACAGCTGGGTTTTAGAGGTCACTAACCCAAAATGCAAAAAAGGGCATGCGCATATTTCTGCGGCTCGTCGAGTGTGTTGTGTTCACCCAGCTGTCAGGTCTTCTGTGTTCGAGTTTCCCACGGACGCTGTACTTCGTCAAAAATGAATACAATTTATGTTTGATTATATTCCTGAAAATGACGATCGTAACGATCATTTACGAAAGACAGCTTCCAGAATCTCCACGAATTCAATGACGGATCGCAATCAACCACCCCTTTAAATTATTTCACAAATATACATGTGTGACATATGGCATACACTGACTTTCTTATCAGATTAGTAGGACTTCAATGCAAATGCTTAAAATAGAATAAACTGGCCTAAGCATGTCATCCTTAATCTGAAATGATTAAAATTAGAAATCAGAAATAATTTTATGTGTGTGTTCACACACACAAAGATTTGTTTACTGACTACTTACTTACATACTGTACATAGATTATATATAACAGGGAGATGAATTTGTTTTTTTCTTTTTCTTGTATGAGTAGAATGCCATACCATAGAAATGTCAAAGAAAAAAGTTTGGTATAACTTTATTTAAAGGTGACGTAGTTAGACGCTACTAAATGTACTTACTAAATTATGCATTTAACCAAACCCTTACATATAACTCAGTTTAAAGTAAAAATAATGTTTAAATAAATAGAGTAAGTACATTTAATTAATATTACTCAGGTCTTATCTGAGAGAGTAAAGTGTGTCCTAAAATAAAGTGTAACCAAAAGCTGTCATCCTGTGCTCTCTGTTGCTTCAGCAGTGTGTTTAAAATTATACCTGATGGAAAATATGCAAAAGGTTAGAAAATGTCTAACAAGAGCGTTATGACACACTCAAAAATGGCCATTTAAACTGAGATAAATTCAATCAACAGACATTGACCCTTTGATTCAAAGCAAAGAGATTTTGTGTGCATTACAGGTTTTTTAACTTATAGTGTCAACATGTATAACCACACTCAAGCACACATACACACACACATCTGCTGACCTAACCACCTTCACATCTACGCCTCAGCAAACTCCGCTTCACGAGAGGCGAAACTAGAAATAGAACAAAGTTCTGCATCACATGCTTAGCATTGTTTATCTGTGTATAATAATTCTAAACCACACCTCTCTATAACAAGCAGCGGAAATTTACAAAAGAACCATTCTGTAACTTCAATTCACAATTAATTCTGAACAGTTGTAGACCAGAATTATGAAATAAATGTTGTTGTTTTTTTTCTCCAAAACACGTGGCCACAATTATTGGCACCCCTATAATTTAATAATTTAATCTCTGAAGTATATTCCCATTAATATTTATCTTTTTTAGCACACCAGGGTGACTAAGAGCATAGAATTGTCTAGCTATGACTGTTGTTTCACAGGAGTTTAAATATTAGAAAACACAAAGGCCAAATTCCCTTAATCATCCATCACAATGTGTAAAACCAAATAATATACAGTAGTTCTGATGTGCATCAAAAGATTGAGCATCACAAAATAGAAAGTGGCTGTAAGAAAATAGCTAAAGAATTGAAAATCCCCATTTTGACCATCAGGGTAATAATTAAGAATTTCCAATCTACAAAAGATGTTACGAATCTGCCAGGAAGAGGATGTGTGTCTACATTGTCTTAATGCACGGTGAGGAAGAGTGGCCAAAGACTCTTCAGAAGCTATCTTATAATGAAATCCTAGAATGGGCCGTGGTTGGATCATCCATCAGGACAACGATCCAAAACAAACATCAAAATCAAACACAAAAATGTGTTACAGAGCACAAAATGAAGCTTCTGCCATGACCGTCCCAGTTCCCTGACCTCATGAGTGGAGTGAACTGAAGAAGAAGCACCAACATGGATCTGGGAATCTGAAGGATCTTGAGAGATTCTGTATGGAGCAATGAATGGTCTCTTATCTATGGTAATGGTGTTCTCCAAATAGTGCAGAAGATTAATGGCATATTTCAAGAGAACCGTTCAAATTGGTATAGAAGCATGAAATTTGGCACAGATACTCTCCAAGGGTCATTTTTTTGGGAAAAAGCCATTGGCCACCCAAAAATTCAACATGGCGGCCATTTTTTTTCAAGATGGCTGCTATTTCTGTCAAATGCACATTATGGCAATTGTTCAAACAGTGATGTAGGCATAGCATTTGGGTTAAAATACCCTCTTCAGAATGTTTTTTTGGAAAACAGTGCTTGTCCCCCAAAAATTCAAGATGGCAACCATTTTTCAAGATGGCCGCCATTTTTCTTGAATCCTTGCATCTTTTTTTTTCAAATGGTGATGCTATCATGAAATTTGGTACAAATATTCTTAAATGAACATTATCATGTAAAAAAGTGTGTGTCACTCAAAAATTCAAGATGGTGACCATTTTCAAGATGGCCATAGAATGTACATTTCCAGAAGAAAATGTGAGTGGGTGCTTGCAGTGGCAAAACTCGCCACTCGGTTGCTAGGGTGTGGTACATAATTGCATACAAGCCCAAAACATGTCTGTACGATGTTCTGGTGCTGAGATATGGCTTATTCATGTGTTTAGATGGTTGATAGGCGGTTGCTAGGGTGTTCTGTGTCATTGCTATGGTGTAGGTAGGCGGTTGATAGGTTATTCTGGGTGGTTTGCTAGGGCATTGCTATTCGGTTGCTAAGGGACAACACCAGATAACAGACAACAGACAACATAAGATGCATATAAGATGCATATAAGCATGAACTACTTCATATAAGGGTTAATTAAAGCACAAGACAAACCTGGAGATGCAACTGAGCGTCCCCGGAGTGGTCATGACCCAGCTGGACCCCAGGGGATGGAATCTACACTCACCCTGGCTGTAACTGTCATGAGGCTCGTCGGCGGCACGATTGAGTAGAGCGGGAAAAGTGAAACAAAGCGTCATCATAAGTTACAGTATATGAAGTAGTTAATGCTTATATGCATCTTATAAGGTCGTATTAGTGTCTTATTAACTGTTAATTACTGCTTATTACAAGCACCTTAAAATAAAGTGTTACCCAAACTTCACCTTCTTGTCCTACTATATCTATTTTGGAAATAACATGTGAAAATGTCAAACAAAATGTCAGTGTTTCAAATAACAAGAAAAAAAAAAAACATCTTCAACTTTGTTTCTTTCATGGAAGCAACATTTCCTAACCTCTGGTTGCCAAACTGGCATTTGATATGACTTATTTTCTTAAATTCTACCTATACTCTCAAGGCTCTCAACTTCTTCTTTTTTTTTTACTATGATCTTATTTTATGATGCTCTGCCATCACCATCATCAATACCTTCTGGAAAAGGTACAGCTTCCCTTCCTCTTTCTTCTATAAATCTTACTAAAATCAACCTAAAACACAGGCAAAAGGCTATTATATTGCCTGCCATTACTGAACAATAGTGCCAGCTATAAGAAAAAGATGCATCTTCCAAAAGGAATTTGTCATTTATGCATAACACAAAGAATTTCTTGGTCTTTGAGTTATTGGTTTTACAAAATGCCAAACACGATTTGATGTACAATTATATTTTTTACTCCCAATGGAGCCTTGACAGCATATGACCTAATCTCGGCAAGTGTCTCATTCACTTACTTGTTGCAAAAAAAAAAAAAAAAAAAAAAAAAAAAAAGAAAAAGTCAAGCACATGACAGATTTTGACTGAAGTGGATCATATGATAATGCTATTTATTGTTTTTTTTTTTTTTTTTTGGTTGTTTTTGGTTTGAGTTTTAAATGCAGTTTGCGTCATTTATAAATGTCGATACACCACAGAGTATGTGAATATGTGAATATATTAAATCAACCTAAATTAGTAGTTAACAACCCAATTTAAAGCCTAAGTGAGATTAGCAGAAAATTATTTGGTTAAAGATTACTAAAACAAGCATTTTTGTAATAACATGAATGGTTCACACTATGACCGGGAATGTCCAGTAAAAGTATATAGGGTTCATTTTCATTACTTTAATATGGTACTATACATGTGTGTTATTTATAGTTCAAGCAATAAACCTGTCAATTTTACACATTATGTAATAGAAGTTATTTGCTATCTCTCTATCCGCAAAAGTCAAGTCACGTAAAGTCAAGTCACCTTTATTTATATAGAGCTTTTTACAATCCAGTTTTTGTATCAATGCAGCTTCACAGTGCTAACACGAAAATAGCGTCATTGTCCGTAAGGCAGATCAATAATATAGTTGAATATTAAATGTCACCATGAAAAAGGCTCATTAGCCTAAACAGAATGGAAGGACCTCTGTTGCACTCTCATTAACATGTA